GTTAAAGTGGTGTCAAACTGGATTATTTTGGCAGTGCAGATGTAATGCTATGGAGATCACTCTGGATGACACAGTTCTGGTATGAACTGCTGAAATGACATACAACAATTTCAACACCGAACCTGTGGTATACCATCCTTAACACGGATATTAAAAAGTCATTTTTTGCTCTGAATCTTCCCAGAAAATCTGGAGCCCTCCTAAGCAATACTGAGTGGCTGTTGCATGTGTGCCCCATTATTATTCTGAACTGTAGCAGGCCCTTTGAATCAATAGGATTTACTCCATGTTGACTCACCATTCAACAGTTGAGCCAACAGGTCTCTTCTGTTTGGGGCTAAGCTATATGATTCAGGCTACAAGAACCTGTTATCCTGATTCAAAGCACTTTAGACAAACTAGAAATTCCTATTCAATTGTAGTTTAGCCATATCTCTCAGACAAGGAATGGAATTATATGGCAATTTCAACCATTTATGGTGGCAACGCAACAGAGAATGGTAAGAGGCAAAAGGCTGCAAAGCAGCAATCTTGTAGTACTGTACTCAACAGCTCCTCAATCAGTTAATACTAAATCTGTCCAGTATTTCCTTGTACACTCTCCCCTCCGTTTTCATCAACTTGAAGTCTACGGTCTTGATTCTTCACGGAGGGGCAAGCTCCATAGGATAATATTGTATGTGCGCCTGTTGCACACGTGGCCATTCAAGCCAATAGGGAATATTGATGAGTTTCTGTTTTCATGGGGGGTCCAGAATGGATTTCCCATGAAAGTGGAGGCACAAGTGTACTAAGAATTCCTCCCATTGAGCCCTTGGGCCTATTCACACTACAGAATTATAGCACTATTATTCCACTTTAACTGGCATGGTTCCATCCTATGGAATCCTGAGAGTTGAGAGAGGAGCACTTACAAGCGTCAGCCAGAGAGCTGCAGTGTCTCTCCAAACTACAAAGCCCAGGATTCTGTAGGATGAAAACATGGCACTTAGAAATGATTGTGTGCTATAATTGTGTAATGTGTATGGGCCCATCCAATCCTGTGCATCTTGCCTCAAAAGAAATTCCATTGATTTAAATGTGACTACTCCGTTCTTCTTGTATGGTTGTTGTTGTGTGCCTTCAAGTCATTTCTAACTTATGGCGACCCTAAAGCAAACCTATCCTGCAGTTTTCTTGGCAAGATTCGTTCAGAGAAGGTTTGCCATTGGCTTCCTCTGAGGCTGAGAACATGCAACTTGCCCAAGGTCACCCAGTGGGTTTCATAGTCCAGCTGGGAACTGAACTCTGGTCTCCAGAGTTGTTGTCCAGCACTCAAACCACTATGCCATGCTGGCTCTCTTATTTTGTGCATTGAAATATGTCAGGCATGCTAAGAAATTTCTCAGGTATGCTAAGAATTTTGCAGTCATTGTTACCCAAAGAATTGCTTATCCAATATTTTAAAAATGATATCCTCAAGCTATTTGGGCCAAGACAGCTGCAATATCATGCATTATAATTTAATAATGGGAGAGAGTGAGCTAATTTGAACACATTAGGCAGCTCAGTTTTTCACTGAGACTGGCTACAGGGAGTAAAAGTGCCACTGGCTGCCAGTCTGCTTCTGGGTACAATTTGAAGTGTTGGTTATGACATATAAAGCTGTATATGGCTTGGCTCCTGGATATATGAAGGATTACATCTCCAAGTTGCTGAAGTTTTAAGATCTTTGCAGGAGGCCCTTCTATCAGTCCTACCACTTTCCAGGCCTGTTGGGTGGGTACAATGGAGACAGCCTTCTCAGTTGCTGCCACTAGACCTTGGTACTTCCTCCCTAGGGATGCTAGTATGGTTTCCTCCTTGCTCTCCTTCCACCATCAAGTCGAAAGTTTCATATTTCAGTTGGCTGCAATGGGCTTTTAATGATGCTTTTCCTTGTTGTTGCTTTTTATATATTGCCTAACAAATTTGTAAATGGTTTTCAATTCCAGATTGTGTAATGGCTTTTAAAAATAACACACACACATGCACACACAACACATGTATTTATACTACAGTGGGCCTTTGGTATCTGCTGGGGTTTGGTTCCAGGATTCCCCGTGGATACCAAAATCTGTGGATGCTCAAGTCCCATTAAAGACAGTGGCATTGTAAAATGGTGTCCCTTACATAAGATGACAAAATCAAGGTTTGCTCTTTGGAATTTATGTATTTTTTGAATATTTTCAAAATGTGGGTGCTTAAATTTGTGGATAAAAAATCAGGGGATATGGAGGGCCTACTGTACTATTGTATGTTTTTTAGATCTGTGCTAGTTTTAGTATTCTGTGAGCTGCCTTGAGTCTCCATATTGGGAAACTGTGGGACATAACTGAATAAAATAATAATACAGTGGGACCTCACCGTCCATGGCTTGCCATCCATGGAGAACAGGAGAACTTGGAGAACTCTCCTCCACAGGGTCACCATGCTTTAGGATTGACTCGAGACCAGTTAAGAGCAACAATAACAGGACTTGAAAACCTGTTCACCAGAAAACTTCCCTTGCAAATTTTGTTAATAGAGATGGATGGGTCAAACTGTGGACTCACATAATCTCTGTTTTCATGGGACCAGCTCTCATCAGTGTTAGAAATATGTCTTTCCAGTCCAAAATGTCTCTGGCTAACAGAAGCTCCCTGATATCTAAGGAAGGAAACGTATGAAACAACACTACACAGAGAGGTATTTATCTCCTCATGGGATATAGAAAACATCTAGCTTCAAAGGAACATAAAACTCATAGGCCTGGGATTGTCCTGGAGGAGATAGTCTGAAGAGATGATGAAGGGCATGGTAGCTGCCATCATCTTCTGCCCCAAATGAAAGCATTCCCTTGTAATCCTCCTTCTTAAAGAGGTAGTATACAACAGTAGTGGTCCTTCTTATCAAATGGAGATACCAGGAATCGAACCTCAGATATTCTACAGCCAAAGCATGTACTCCACCATGAAGCAACTGCTTAACACAGAGGTAGGCAGCCTTTTTGAGCTAGGGGCTGGGTTGCTATCCCTCAGACAATTGGGGGGCCGAAGCACCATAAATAAATAAATAAATAAATAAATAAATAAATAAAGTAATAACAACAATAATCAATATCATCATGGTGGGGGGGGGGCGGCGGCAGGACATGTATTTGGCTGCCCACTAGTGAAAGAGTTAAACCAGCCCAAAATCAGATATGCCATGTGGGTGAATGAATGTAAATTGAGTTTTGTGGCAGAGTAAACCTGTTGTGAAGTAATCCATCCTATCTTTTTAAAAACAACAACATGGACTGGTGTTGTCAGCTACCTTTAGGATAACCCTATGTGGGACAAACCGGGGTCTTCAGCCATATGGAAGATTTAGATGTATGAACCAAGGGGCTTCCAGCATCAATCTGAATATGAGAAGTTAGAAATGCTCAGCACCCACCGTTGTGCAAATTGCCACAAGGAGCATCCATGGGTCTCCATCAGCTCATACACCAGTTTCACCACATTTGCAACAACCAGACAGCTCCACACGATGGATTTCAGCAAGCATAAGCTGACTGTGCCCAGGTGGTCAACACCAATTAGCATCTAGGCACCCTGGCATCTCATGGGTTTAAAAAGTAATGACAAAAGAAGAAAAACGTGAATCTTTTTGCATAATTCTTTCTCAATAATTTTCCTCTGTTGCCAAACATTGATGACAGTCCCTTTTGCTCTGCCCTTGATGTATACAGTAATTTCTTTTAAATAAATGAATAAATAAAAGATTTGTAGCTGAAATATGATCATAAATGGCCTTTAGTAAAGAGTTAGGGGAGAATATGCTATAGGAAAAAAATGAAGCTTTTTTTTTAAAGAAAGATTAAAAGCAAACATGCTAGAGAAGTGGTTAATTTCAGCTTCCTTTATATATGCTCAAGAATATCCTCAATCCCCACCTCTCTCTCTCTCTTTTTCTCTCTTTCTTTCCATCCCTCTCTCAATCTCTCTCTCCCCCTTTCGCTTTCTCTAAGCCATCACCACCATCTTTACTTTCATCAGTAAGGTCTCCTTTGTTTTGCTGTGCCACCTAATTCTTTTGATGACAATGAGTCCACAGTTTTCCAGTCAGTGGTTTTGATTTGCATGTTATCGTCCCCCTCTTTCTTATTTTATTTTTTCTTAAAATATATTTTATCATATCTCCACCAGCGATGTGTTCCGATGATCCTCACATCAGAAGGCAGGGAGCAGACTCAGCTAAACAGCTGGTCAGATTTGCATGAAAATGGGCTGCCCTTTCTGTGTTGTTTGTTCTTTGAAAATTACAGTAGGTGGGGATCCAACTCACGTCCCCTCCCCTCAAACAAATAAAGATAAAATTTCAGAGATATTAAAATAGGGCGGGCGGGCATTAAACTGTATCATTTTACATTTAAAAAAGAAAACAGATTAGAGAGACTTAAACTCTTTGGAGACATTGGACAAGGAAGAACAAAGGACCCCAGCTTTAGCAATGCAATGTAAAGCCGCTGCTTCTGCCACACGGTTCCTAGAGGTTCTGTTCCTCTAACAAAAGGCTTAGTGATACTATTGCTACTACAGTAAATCATATTGCTGTTTAAGTGATTAGATTGTTGTGCATCTTAAAGCCTAGGGCGATTCATTACTGGCCTTGGTAGAGCCTTTAAAAGTTTGCTTCCAGGTTTGGGGGAGAATCACATGCCAAATGTGGGAGGCAATGTGATGCAGTGTTTAGACTATTGGACACAAACTTAGAAAATCCAGGTTTAAGTCCATGTTTTGAAATTTACTGGGTGACCTTAGGGCAGTCACTCTCTTTCAAGCTCATAAGGCTGTTTTATTGTTGTTGCTGCTGCTGTGTGCCTTCATGTTGTTTCCGACTTCTGGTGACCCTATCATGGGGTTTTCTTGGCAAGCTTTGTTCAGAGGAGGTTTGCCATTGCCTTCCCCTGAGGCTGAGAGCATGTGACTTGCCCAAGGTCAGCCAGTGGGTTTCATGGCTGAGCGGAGAATCGAACCCTGGTCTCCAGAGTCTCAGTCTAGTGCTCAGACCACTATGCCACACTAGCTCTCCATAGAGTTATTGCATACCCTTTAACTTTCCCAGTTTGGCAGGAACAACCCCATTTAATCCTTTGCTGTCCCACTTTTTCAGCTGCTTTTCAAATGTCCCAGTTTCTCTGTCCTCCTCCCACTTTCCCCTTTCTCCTCAGCTTACTCCCTTTCCAGCAAACTGAGTTCAAAGTGCAAAAGCAGTTTGTTCTCAAGCAATTCAATAGAGGGGAGAGGAGTGGAAGGGACAGAATCTTGTCTTTCCCAGGAGGCTCAGGCAAAAGTAAACTACTGCAGCCTCTCCTATCTTCTCTGTTCTTTCACATTAATAACTTTTGCCATCTTGAGCATGCTCTGATGTTGCTTGGCCACACATGTCCTGGTTTGTATCTGTGAAAAGTTGGAGTGTATGCTGTTGTCTTTGAGAGTGAAGTGGAGATGAAAAGATGCATGTGTGCTGCCTTGATCTCAAAGGAAGAAAGGGGAGAAGGAGGAGAAAATACATATAGATACAGGCCTTATCCATTAAGAGCCTTCCCTAGTTTTAAGATCTTTAGGGGAAGGCTTTCTCTGGGTTCAATCACCTTCATTGGTGTGCTTCATATGTGCTTCAAATGCACTTTTATTGCTGTTACCCACCCATATTCCTTGTGATTGGGTGGGCTATAAATAAATATATTATTATTATTATTATTATTATTATTATTATTATTATTATTATATAGGAGGAATGATGTCAGCATATCAGAATTACCTTGAGATAGTCGATATCTCCCATTGCTGCTATATGTCTTCCTTGTGAACTATGGTCTTAGATCATCCATGGATGCATAATAATCCAGGCTGACACCACTTTAACTGCTATGGCGCAATGCTATGGAACTCGAGGGACAGTAGTTTTGTGAAACATTTAGCCTTTTTTGACAGACAGCTCTTGTACCACAACAAACTACAATTTCCAGCATTCCATAGCATTGAACCAAGTGCTGTCAACCTGGATTATTTCTGCAGTGAGGATGCAGCCAATGTCACTGATGTAAGGAGAAATAACTAAGAGAAAGCATCAAAACAATGTAACAAAAGAGGGAGGGGGAACCATGGAAATGGTGTATTCCGGGAAATTTTTACTGCCTTTTAAAGCAGCACTGTTGGCTCTCCTCTTCCCAAAATACAGTGATGTTGTGACACAGCTCTCCTATTAAACAAGCATTTGCAAAATGTCCCTATCATTTCCCTTTATGCAAAAGCATGTAGAAATCTACATCAAGCTAAGGACACTCTGTATAGAAACTTGCAGTTCAAATCAAATGTTAATTTCAAAGGCAAACCCCCAACACTCCACCTCGCTGCCTTTAATATAAACTCTAATCGAAAATAGCTACATCCATGCAGAAATGTATATGTAGGTGAAATGGATCTGTAAAACATGGAGAATGACATCCGCTGAGTTACATTTTTAGCAACACAGAAGAGAAATGATTGACAGAACAAAGCATATGGAAACAGAGAAGAATCTAACCCACATTTAGATCTAAGAAAAAAAATATTTGCCTGAAGGGAAAATATTAATTAGTTTGTCTACATGCAAGATAAAAGTCTGGAAGACATATCCATCAAAAGGCAACTGAATAAACAGCAAAATGGAAATTATTTGTAAATTGACAGTAAACTTGGCAAACATTGAGGGGGTAAACAACTTATTTGGCATGCAAAGCACTCAGAAATCATACCCTCTGTCAGGAGGCATCTGTGCATATATTCACTTATTTGACAGAAATTAACGTTTTGTGGGAATCTTTCTTGCATGCAAAAGATTTTTTCGCCCTCCTTAAATATTTTAATTGCTGCTTCACAATGCTCTATATAAACATGAAAAAGGCATTTGAATCAACAAAGTCCAGGTTCAGATTATCAATAACACAGTCCAACTCTATGCAGAAATGCAGCACAAAACCCATCAGAAGTACAATATTTATATACCATAATGATGCTGTTTGGCTTGCATTCACAATCTACTAAATATCTGTGGCTTTCACTGTTTTCATATATATCCTAGAATAAATCAGAGCTTGGGGGAAAGATTTGAGGTTTGCAAATCCCAGGATCTTCCAAGACAGTATTGAGATTCTGGGCCATTGCCATTCAAAAAGTAACTTTTCCAGACTCTGGCATCAGCTATTCACACTAAGCACAATTTCATTTACTGCCACCTACATGCAGCTGCGTATTTGTTTTCTGAAATTCCATTCAAAACACAAATGCATTTCCAACTCAGCACAGATGCATTTGAAGTGAGGCAAAGGGGGAAAAAACGCTGTTTCCTGACACTATTTTTTTTGGCGGTTCTTTTGAAAGGAATCGATTCCAAAGCATCTTCAACAAGTGGAAACTGAATCGGATCATACTGGAGGGGAGAGACCAATGGCAGAGGGGTGTCTACCATCCTTCCCCAGTTTTTGGAAAATCACCCCCTCTTAGCCCTGCCTTTGTGTATCATGCACCTATGGGTGCATGATATATATATTTTAATATTAAAAAAAATGACAGAATATACAATCCATCGTATTTGCAACTACTTGCAATTACAGGCGGACTATAGCTCAGCAAGGCAAGTAGTTGCAAAACCAATGGATCGCATGTCCTGTCAATTTATATATATATATATATATATATATATATATATATATATATAGTTCTCAAGCCGGGCTGCTCAAAGGGGAAATGATGTGCAAAGTAGCCTGACGGGCAGAGGAGGGCTCAGTTGCTAAAGTCGCCCCGCTTGGCGCCTGGAATCTTCACTGCATTGACGCTTGCGTCACCGAAGATGCATAGATGATTGACATGCATTTCGAAGTGGCGCAAACTAGTGGGAACAACAATCATGCCAAAAAAGAAGCCATTACAAGGGAATAATGAAAAGATCTGCTTTCGTAGTGGGAACGACGGACCTTTTAGAATCGATTCCCCGAAGTGGAGCAAAGGCGAATCGCAAACCGGTTTCAATATAAGTGGGAACAAGCCCCTAGTTAACTATCAGCACTAAGGACTGTGAGGAGATACAGTTATTCAGATAGCCTGGACCCAAGCCATATAAGGATTTAAAGATCATAACCAACACTTTAAATTCCCCCAGAAATGGACCTATAGTTAGTGAAGCTATGCTTTATGTTTCCATACACTCCAACTGTCCAGGTTTAGCATGGACAGTCATGATTAATCCTCTGCTGTTCTACTTTGACTCACTATAGTTGATTTAACGTGTTTTCAGGTCTTTCATATTTTGAATCCTAAGTTAGGGATAAATATGAACTGTGAAATACCCTTTTCTTTCACCCAAGTAAACACCCTCTGTTTATAGAATTGTAAGGATAATTCTGGTGTTGCTGCAAAGCTGAAAGAACATCAAGAAGATTCCATCTTCTTCATTTTGTAAAGCACATAATGATTTTATTGTTGTTGCTGTTGTGTGCCTTTTAGTCACTTCCTATGTACGGCGACCCTATCATGGAGTTTTCTTGACAAGGTTTGTTCAGAGGAGGTTTGCCATTGCCTTTCCCCTGAGGCTGAGAGAGTGTGACTTGCCCAACACATGCAAATAGTTCCATTGGCTTCTGCAAGTCAATTCGCCATAATTTGTCATCTTACAGCCCTGGACACAAGTCAAGACGAGGACCCCATATATGGAGCTTATTTTGTGGTCACTAAAATCAGCAATGATGGGATCAAAGGCCCATTCACACTACAGAATCATAGTGTTGCCATTCCACTTTAATAATAATAATAATAATAATAATAATAATAATAATAACAACTTTAACTGCCATGGTTGCATCCTATGGCATCCTGGGACTTACAGTTTAGGAAAGAGCATTTGGACTTCTCAGCCAGTGCTCCAATGTCTCCCCAAACTACAAACCCTAGGATTCCATAGGAAGGAAACATAGCAGTTAAAGTGGAATTATAGTGCTATAATTGTGTAGTGTGGATAGGTGTAAACTTCTATATCTGTCATTTGGCCTGTGCTTATTTATCTTTGCAAGTTTGTACAATCTCACCTAGTAATTCCTTGATTGTCTTGATATGAACACCATTTGGAAGAAGATGTTTGCAAACAGTCAGATTCAATTGCAACTATTTGTGTAAGTATAATGTATGCACTTAACTGAAAGCATGTTGCCTTTGGCATTGCCTGTGTAGGCATCTGTATATGTTTACGGGCAATTTGAGATGAATTTGCTTTACTTCTTTTCTAATAGTTACATTACATTACCCATTATTCTTTCCATCTTTTTTGTTCCGGGGGGGTGGGGGAAGGAATCGATCGAAAAAGTAAGTAATTTAATGTAGATATTATTTAAATGTTTCCAAAAACAATTGAACACACACAAGTAAAGAGAAAAGTTAATGAGTAAATGTTATTTGTTGCACAGAAAAAGTAACAAAGCTGCTATTCCCTCCCCCCAGCTGAAAATTCTAAGTACCCCAAACTACAAATCCCAGGCTTCCCTAGCATGGGTACACAGCAGTTAAAGTGGAATCATAATTTTATAATTATGTAGTGTGATGCCATCTCTCTTCTTTCCAAAGCAAGGGGAGTATCAATAAGAGAAAGGTCTTTTCCCTTGTGGTATCTTATTCTTGGAATTTCCTCTCCAGGAAGATTTACTTTCTATTTTTCTTTTTCATTATAGAAAACTTTGATTATTTTCATCAGCATTTTTAAAAATTCTGGGGGGTTTGTTTTGCTCTGCTATGATCTTTTTAATTAGAGTATTATTGTCATCATTGTTTGGGTTTGTAACTAACAGTCTGCTGTAAGAGTTTCAGCTGAAGAACCATTATGAATGCTTTAAATATCAAGTGTAATATTTAAACCTTAATTTAAATATGTTTAAGTTTAGTTTGATATTATTGATATCCTTTACATTATTTTAATATTACCAAATGGCACATCTAATTTATGTAGCTATTTAATGTGGATATTATGTTGATAATATGTAGATAGTGTAGATAATGT